CATTAAAATTTCTGGACAAACGTAGACTATTTGATCTAGAAGGGACCAAAAAAAATGGCAAAATTCCATATTCCGATTCATTTTTACAAACTGCTTTCCAACGCCAATCTTCAGTGCAACATTGCAAATAATTCTCAGTTACCTTTCAAATCTATCTGGAAGATCGGTGCTCCTCCCAAAATTGCTTTTTTTGCTTGGGAAACCAGTAAAGAGAAGATTCTGACTTTAGACAATTTGATGAAAAGAGGAAAAATTATGGTTAACAGGTGTTTTCTTTGCAAGTGTGACGCCAAGAGCTGCAATCACATTCTTCTTTGGTGTCCCTTTGCCTCAAATCTTTGATACATGGTCTTTAATCTGATTAGTTATACTTGGGTTGTGGTTGGATACATTCACGATGAACTCCTGGCTTGGAAAAGTTTAAACTCAAGCAATCATGTTAATAACCTTATCTCCCTTACTATTTTTTGAACTATTTGGAAAGAAAGAAACAATAGGACTTTTAAAGACAATGAAGATACTATTGTAAATATTAAGAATAGATGATTATATTGTTTTGCCTCCACCTTTTTGGATCATAACTTATTATCTTTCAACGACATTGGAACTGTTATCGATATTTTCTTATAAATGTAATACTTTTGTACATGGACGGTACTCCCTTGGTGCCATTTTTTAATGCATCTACTACTTTTATTTCAAGAAAAAAGGATCTCAAGAGTTCAAGGAACTCAAGAAAGAATTTTCCTCATCTCCCCTTGGTGAACTTTAGAAAAAAAATTTCCTTATCTCCCCTTTTTTCCATTAAATTCAGTCTACAAATATAGTAGAAAGAAAGAAAGCTTTAGAAATTACCCACTACATAATAGGTACCACACCACTAACATTAAAGACTAACTCTGCCACATAATAGTAAGAAATTGCTAAACTGCTAAACCTAACTGTATAAATCTACATTTTTTTTTAGAGAAAAAGTATTAAGTGTATTACAATAAGCACCAAAAGTGGTGCATCCCATTTACAGAAATTTACCAAACAGAAACAATTCCATGACCACATTTGGGTGACCCAGCAACAAAAACTCTAGGGTCTTCACCCGTCTATTTTTTAGAATATCAAACCCTTTTCGATGTCTACCCTTATCCTGCATTACCACCAACAAATTGCATAAGAAACCAAATATAAGGAACTCTCTGCCTACTTTAACCATATAGCTAAAACTAAACACAACTGCTCATCACCCATACTAAATTCTTCTCCCTAGCTGGTTGACAACTTATAACCACATCTACTTTAATGCTTTTGTTGACTTCTCATAGCTTGCACCTCGGTAAGAAGTGTACACTGTTGGGGACTCCACTGAAAGATGGTTCATTTCTGTGAAAATCTTTCCACCAAAATATTTTCCCCCAAAACAAATATCCTTGGAACCAATTCTGGGAGAGGGAAGCTTATCTAGGAGTGCCTTCTTTTGCTTAGGAAGCAACTTGGGGCAAAATTCTTACTATTGGTAACTTGATGAGGAAAGAATTTAATTAACCAGTTCCAACTTTCACCATGAAAATGAGTACCCTGACTATCTTCTAGTTTGGTGTCTGAGGCCAAAAGATCGCAGTCTTCAACCTGTCAATGTTGACTATTGCTGGTTTGATTACGGATGAAGTTTGGGACTGAGAGGGACCTTGGGCAAGTAAAAAGCAAGGAACAAGGCTGTCTCTCTTCCCTTTGGCTTTCTTTTGTTCATTTGGAAGTAAAGAAATAGAAGAGTTTCTGCTAATAGCCTTGATCTTCTTTTTTGTTAATATTAGAGATTGCTCATTCTA